TGCTAAAGTGCATTGGGAAGTGAATAACAGGCGCAATAGCGGTGATAGACTTCAGCTATCTTGAAGGGGCCGCTCCCGTCTCTCAATCAAGAGATGCACAAAGTTAAGCTCCCGCAAACGATCGGCCGATGATTCACGCAGTAAGCACGTGGTGGTCATATAGAAACAAACTGCGTTTTATTGTACCTCATGGACAATTGAAACTAGGCCTCATGTTAGCAACGCTCTTCAAGAAAGGTGGAGCTCACAGCCCAGGGTTGCAAATAGCCAAAATTGTGGAGATAGATTACGTAGCACGAATTCTATCTGGATTATACCAGGATCAAGGCTCAATTACATGGACCAATGTCTCTTTCCTTCATCAACTTGTCGGCTTTGTACGTCAATACAGACGGGCCAGGATACGTCCCACATTTTCGGTTTTTCATGAAACTCACGTCGGTCATTCGGCAAACAACGATCTTAAACCTTAAACTTTTGGTTTGGGCAAAGACTGTGTACGGTCAAAACTGCGTATGCTGCTGCTACTTTCAAGAAGGCTAGCTTAACAAGTATCATGACAATTATAATGTAACTATTCGATCGCAAAAATATCACTTTTCTTCTAATTCCCATATTGTAATTAGTATACCCGAATTATACACTAGATTTGCCTTTTAACCTTACCTTTCTTCGTCATTGCTTCTCTATGTATACGTTAAGCTGGATTAGCGACGCCTCCGCGTGAATAGTTTTGACTGGAATAATTTTCTTATGCCCTTGTTGATTTTTGTGCCAGAATGGGTCTGCCAGTACCCACGAGTTGCTTGCGGTGGCGTCATTCATAAAATTCTCTCGGCTACTAGTGCCTTCCGCTGTATGCGCTAAGATACGAAATGTTTGCGGCATATTATTCCTGTCCGGTATTTTGGCACCATGTGATACTGGAGCTGCGACCAACGCCGCCATCCCCATGCGAAACGCTTCCTCAAGCTGCCCCAGCGCACGCTGATGGTCTTTGCCAAAATTTGTCGTTTCTAGTGCTGCAATCCAGACGAGCTCGATTACGAGCGTCTCCGTCGCACGTCCTTCATTACAAAGAAGGACTACGCACAACTTTTCGAGTTCTCCTTGTAGTAGCCACGTTCGGCACCCATTCAGCATGGAGTGTATGTATTCGCACAAAAGAGGGTGTCGACTCATGTGAATTGGGATGTCATACAGCACCCGCTGCTCAAACGACTCTGCTCAGCAGACATAGTGGTTTGTGTCGCACTCGTTTTGAAGATGAATAACGTACAGTTTCAGCACCTTTAGGGTATACAAGCCATGAAAATCTGCAATGCGAGTTTATGTTAAAGTGCGTAAAGGCCAGTGAATCTATCGTACTCACAGAAATTCATGTATGGCGGCCTCCAAAAACTCGAGCACCGGGTCTGTGAGTGTCTCCTTTGCAGTTTTGTCAATTTCCATTCGAAAAGTGTCCAGAAAATTCCCTCTTGAGACTGACACTGAGCTTTTCTACTGAACATTACCAATTTTTAATGTGGCGTAATTTGGCATACGGGTCACAGCAGGCGGCAGAAGCGGCGCCTGCTTTTGCTCCCACGAAGTTGGTGGAGACTGTAGTCTCTCAAGGTCTCTTTCTGCTTATCGCGCGTCTTGTGTGCCTGTTTTAACAACAACATTATGTCTATGGTCAGTGGACGCGTCATCCGTGCCGAAGAATGACGGCGCTAAGGTTTACAAAATTCTAGAGTTTCTGCGCAAAGTTCCAATGCACAAAGCAGTATCTGTAGCTGAAATATTTAAGCATACGGGTGTCGTACGTAGCTGCAATTGCTTGACTACATTTACGATGTGTGGTGACAGTACGCCTGAATAAGGACCTTACAATGGACGACCAAGTGGAACAGCGACTCAAAAACAATCCAAAAGTTCGATTACAAGGAGACCACTATGCGTACCAGGTGAAATTAAACATATCATGACATAGTTTTAGTGAAACGCAGTTTCATTTATGAGCTTGTATGTTTGTCTTCTAGGCCAAATACGATATAAAGAATCGCATGCAGCTTCTTAAAATCCTCGATCGTGTTAGTGCAAAAACGAAGTACTGCATGATAGATAGACTGTAGTCTGACAAGGTCGTCTTGTTGAGTTAGACCCCAGAGGGTATGCCTATTGAAGACTTAATCGATTGCTACGTCAGTGTAGAGGATGACCTGAAAGAGTTGACGCGCACGGGAGAGATCATTTGTTTAAAAAACGCGGACAAGGGCGCTGAAGTATACTACTCACGCGGGTCTGCATTTCTTGTGGATCTCTCTGGAGTTGCGACTGTTGAAGCTGGCAGCTACTTGGCCCATTCTAGTGAAGACATTACTGAGGAGATTCGTCGTGGTGATGCACTTCGCGTTGGCGACAATTGGTTTCGTGTCTCGGCTGCAGTAAAGGTGTTACTATGTCCAAATTGATTTACTTATACGTTCTCATTAGCTTTGAATTATCCCTCTAGAGTTCAAGTGCGTCTCGACCTGTCCCTTTTGCGGGAATGGCAACGAAAAGTGTGTCTTCAACACGGGACCCCAATGTGTCAAAGAAAATTAAGTGCGACTTCGTCTGCTCTGCAAGTGCTTGCATGGAGGTACTCATCAGCTATACTTTTTCATTTGCTTGGCTTCAGATTTATGTTTAAATTCGACAAAGATCATCTTCCTTTGGATATTCCTTTTCCGGATGCAAAGAGGCGCAGTATAGCCAGCAGTGATCGCTGGGATCTTTTACCTAAACGTGGCCCTAAGTTTCAAATGGTGAAGCACGGTATGAACTGCGTGGCTTGCGCTCTATTACTAGCTACTTTCTCTCATCAAAGCTCATCGAGCCGAATATTCTCCGCAGGCTGTTCAAATGATATACGTCAGCTGTGGCGGGACACTATGCGAACGTGGCCCTCAGATCGCGCCGAATTCGAAAAGAAGCTAGTCCAAGCAGGTCTAACTACGCAAGCAAAAGTTGATGCGAATCGTCGCCAAATGAAGCGCCGACTGAAGGAAGATAAAAAGAAGAATCGTCCTCGTAAGCAGCGCGATATCAAAATCACCAATCATCATCTAATTGGCACGAAGCTTGGCGAGATCCTGGCAAAAGGGAGCCAAGAGCAATTCACGCTTGGTGCTGTTCGATTTGATAAAAAGTAGCTTCCAGATGAAGCCAATTTGAGATGTCACCCCAGTGGCTACTCTGCTATAAAAAGTATATGGGTTGTATCCATCGGTTAGCAAGAAATCTATTGGAGTGGAATTTCAAATTTGTAGCACCCCTTTCTGTCTAAAAAATAAAACTCCAGCCGCTGTAATTATTATAAAGACGACCAGACAAGTAGTCGCAACTCCCCAAAACCACCCCCATGCATCCTCCACGCCTGATGATAGATTCATACCAAACACGCCAACAAGTAGCGTGCCAGCGGAAAGACTGATTGTGACGAGCGAAAAGACCAAGTCTACTCGAAGCAAATAGTTTCGCATCGAGTCCAGTTTCAGCATTACCAAACTTTCTGTATTCGTGATCCTGTGCTGCATCAAATCTGCTTTTGTACGGGTCGAAAAAATGTCCTGCAAGTAGTTTTCAATCAAAACTTCGGCTTCTTCGGAATCAAAACTGTATAAATCCGTAAGAAGAGAAGGGTTCTCATAAAGCTTCGTGAGGTACAGCAAACGCAAATCTTCTTCGTTATCAAGCAGATCCATCAGTAAACGGCGAACACCGTCTACCTGTGATTCAAACTCGTTCATGGCATTTTTAAACTCGCGTAGCGTCTCCAACTCATGTGAGTGAAGATTTTCATGCACCAGCCGATCTAGTGCTGCAAACACAACAGGAGAAAGCTTATCGTAATCTTCCTGAAAATACCGCGCTAACGTTGCCAACAAGACTTCAAGTGCTCTGCACGATAAATTATTGTCATTCTGCACTCACGTTATCCCCCATATATATTACGACTGACCTGAACTCATACGGGTCTTCTGCATTTTCTCGAGCAGTCTGGCGAAATTGATCCTTCAAAATTGACAAAAGACTGTCAGCGCCATCAGGTACGTACACCAAACACATGTCTCGCATCACAATCGCTCGTAAAGGGTCTGTGAGTATCAGAAAACGTCAGCACCAGACATCAATTACCCTGAATATACCGTCCTCCCTACCAGCACTGATTAGAATTGCCTGCTTTCGTATAATGATCGCGGGCTCATTTGACACAGAGAACGCGTTCTCCATCCTTCGAATGTCTCGCGCATGAACACGCTTTAAGCAGATAAGAGATTATCGTCGTTATCATCCCTATCTTTTTACACAATAACCCACCTGAACATCACAGACTGTGCCATAACTAGCTCCATCAGGTCCTCCACCATCCCCGCGCATTAAGTTCAGACTACCTCGCCGACCATTGGCTCCGATACTACCCACTCGACGCAGTGGCGGCCCCACAACGTCCACGGACTTGTCGACCTTCTCGGGATCCTCTTCTTTGGGTAGTGCAGCTTGGAGAGTCATTCGCAGGACATCAAGACGACTCATTTCCTTAAGGACCGAATCCCCATTGCGGTCGAATAATAGTACCAGAACGCGACCATTTTTCGAGCCTGGATCAAATTGGCAAGCAAAGCGGTTAAGTGAGCCGGATCCGGGTGAGCTGGTGCTGCTCATCTCTGTTGGATGCGTCGAGCGTAGATCGATACGGTGATAGTCTGTTCCGGGGCTGCGCGTTTCCATCGCAGAAGGTTCCATAGCTCTGCTGTTGGGTGTAATTGATTATCGGGAATTTGGCACAAGAAAATGGCCATTTTGGACCTATCATCTTTGGCTACCAAGTTTTACCAATATTGTATCGGTGGGAGCGCTAAGGTTATCATCGTGCAAAATACGATATTGTATTTAGCAATAATACAATATTTTATACGATATTGCATCTTGCACAATGATAACCTTAGCGCTAATGTAATGTTCTGAGGTACGATAAAATCGGTACAAATGATGACTCACGTAAAGTAATACGGATAATTTACTATTTGAAAATGAATGAAGTTGAAACGGTTCTTACTATTATTACAGAGCGAGCTTATTACTTAGTTGATTTAGAAGCTTCAGTTCCGAGTTGAGCATACGAATCCAATCTCTGTGCGTCGTAAGTGCTGACTCTTAAAGCTTCTTCTGCTTAGAAACTACGGCAATCCGTTGCACTAAGTTGCACTTGCCGTCGATTCGACAAGTGAGGAATTAAGGAACTGGATCACATCTGAGGATGTCACACGAGGTTTTCGATCACCTGTCCTCAGACAACTAAGCACGCTTGTTTACCTCATGTAAATAGTTGGCCCGAAAGAAATGGCGGCGCATCGACCAGAGACGATGATTGCTTTCCGTAAACAGCGGTGGAAATAAGCTGGTGCGAGACTATCAAAAGCGCACTAATCAAACGACAGTGAGAGCACCAATGACGCATAGGGAAGGGACGGAGGAAATCTCTTCCTTGAAGGGGCAAGCTGAAATGGCTATACATTGAGCCGTTTTATAGTCGGAGCAATAGCGCGTCGCGCCTGCGTCTCCGAGCCAGAAGGCGGTGCGCGAGAATGAGCTTAACGCGCACTCCTTTAAGAAATGTTTCTTTAATATGAAAGCCTGGAAGTGCAAAAGTGTAACGATGTTACACGTGCCCTTGTAAGAAAGGGCGGGTGGCATGAGATTGTACGACCGAATATAGGTGTGTATTACACAGTTAGTGTAATAACACAGCGGCATAGCTACACCGTAACAAGAAGCCACCACGTCGCAGGATTGCCAGTATTAATGCATATTACTATATTAATCAGGTGTTGCTTTATTTATCTGGTATATATTGATTAGAAAAACATTGGGTTTTAGATATTGGGGGGGGCTCAGCTGCAACTAAAACAATGAAATATAGCTTCAGTTTTGAACATAAGTATTCGTTTGCCTAGAAAAGGTTTTACTACTTAGAAGTAGCAGATTGCGATCCGCTACACTTGCACTGGTTCATAGGAAGAACGTATGGTGGGTGACCTAAGCTTAGATTCCTCTACGCAAAGAGCTACGGCAGCCCCGCTATACTTGGTAGCACTCGTAGTCAATCTACGCCTGAGTCGTTACGACTAGTCCTCTGTTAGGATGGAGGAATACTCTTATTTGCCCCAGGGCATGCAGGGCGGACTTAATAAGCTGATGTCCCTGCTGGGCCCCAAGCGCGTGAAATACCTCGTTGCGCAAGGGCCCGAGGACATAAGCGCGCACCTAGAGTTGTTTTAAGTTATAAAAATGCTCTGTTAGAGCACTTACAGCAGAAGCTGTCAGCATCGACTGCGTCTTTGACGCCACCGTCGACGACGGATGATTCCTTCCGACCCAGGCCGCTCATGGTGAGCGATAATTGAGGGTAAGGATGGAGAGACTGAGATAACTATGGCATCCGCCATGCTCCAAAATGAGCAACAGCTTGCGGCTAGTAATCTCCAAGCTCGGAGGTCGAGCGCGAGAATGGGCACTAGCGCGCGGCGCTTTGGTTGAGGCTGTGTACCCCTCCTATAGAGAGCTGGAGCGACAGCTTTTGCGAGTGCTCTCGCCGCCTAATTTGGCAAATCGCGTGCGATCGCGTTTCCTTGCTGCCCGACAGGGCAAGAAGGAGTTGGCGGACTTTGTTAGAGAGTTGAGAACTCTTATCGCCAGTAAGGCAGCAGATCCTCTCCCGAGACGGTTGCAGTAACCGTCTTTATAAAGGGCCTTCGCGCTGGCGTGGTCAGAACGGAAGTCTACCGTGTGCATCCGTCTTCTTTTGAAGAAGCGGTGAATGTGACATTGAATGCCGAATTTAAATTCAAGTCGACACGACTTGGTTGAAATGCAAACTCTCAGGACTCGTCGAGCGGGCTGGGCCATGGATCTCAGCTATGCTGAGAAGGTGATGGGATAGTTCCGAGCTGCTGAGCAGCGTGTAAATACCCGACGGTGTTTTGATTGTGGAAACACCCTGCGCAAGGCGCGTAGAGGTTCGTCGAGCTGACGTTCGGTCCGGGAAACTACTGGGGGGATTTGAGATCTGCTGAGCCTCAAAGAGGTAAACGGCGGCAGGGCCCAGCCCTGTGCTCTTGGACATGGAACTTGTGTGCAAGCCTGGCTTGTTGTTCGTGAAAGCGACCGTGAAGTGCTTTGATAATTCGTGGAGAATCTCGATTGATTCTGGCGCGTCGGGCAATTATGCTCTCCGCCCTACGATCGAAGGAAGTCACTGGCGCTGGAAGCGCGGTTGAGTAGCACGTCACTGTTCGCCTAGCGACGGGGATTTGTGTCACTTACCCGAGGGTCCCTGCGGACCTCGGTGTCAAGTTTCTTGACTTCGATAGCGAGGAGCGCTGTCTAATCGTAGACTTGGATGCAAGGTATGACATTATCCATAGTATGGCATGGTTGGAACACCATGAATCATGGATCAACTGGAGGTCGAAGTCCTTGGACGCTACGCGCACGTCTCCTGGTGAAGCTTTGGTGAGTCATGAACCCACCTCTACGAAGAAGCAGAAGCGCTATTGGTGCGAACACTGGACCGGGACGGTCAATGTGCTGGATATCGGAGTATCCGAGCTGTCAAACACCAATGGTTCTGGACAAGAGTCCCGAGCGTGGCTAGCCGGTTGATCGTAGAGTGGCACATAACCCACTGAGCACTGCTCAAGTATTGGAGCAGTTGCTGCATGCTAAGAGTGGCATGGTCGGCCAAGGGCCAAGGTATCAATGGCGGGACCCTTGTGATGCACGTGGAATGGAACGTAACCCACCGAGCACTGCTCATGTTACGAAGCAGTTGCTGCGTACAGGCCCGAGGCATAAAAGGCGAGGCCCTTGCCCTTGTGATACGCGTGGAGTGGCACGTAACAACCGAGCTCTGCTCACGTTACGAAGCAGTTGCTGCGTGCCAAGAATGGCAGGTCCGAGGAATCAAGGGCGAGGGGCTTGCGATATGCGTGGGTTGGCACGTAATTTACTGAGCACTGCTCACGTTCGAAGCAGTTGCTGCATGCCAAGAGTGGCATGGTCGGACGAGGTCCAAGGCAGTCTGGGCAAAGCCCTTCTGATGCACGTGAAGTGGCACGGAATCCGCTGAACGAAGACTGTGGAAATCGCAGCCTTCTTTACGATGCAGTCTGCTGCAAATTCGTGCAGCTGGTGAGTGATGAGAAGAGGATGCGCTAAAATTGCAGTAGAAAAAAATCAAAAACCCAGTTATTTTACTGCTTTGTCATTTGGTCTTCCGATATTGCAAATAACATCAAGGCTCCGATGGAGCAGGGAGTGGGGATACTGGATGACGCCGAGTGCGTGTTCCCACTGTTCTCGATGAGACATTAAGCCTCTATAGAGAAGAGACAGCGAAGCCGTATGTTATCCACAAGCCACTGGGCGTCGACCCTGACCCAGGTTGTGTCTACCGTAGACGATAGCGCACAGCTACATACCTTTGTCAACGGTATGAAGGGAGAGAAAGACGGCGACATCACCCACAAGGCTATTCCCGCGGTGGATGTTCTTCTTGAGCTGGACGAGATGTCCTTCGAAGCCGTTTGGCGGTGTCTTGAAGTAGGCAATTTAGCCGAGGTAGTCATTACAAGACAGAACGAGGAGATTTACTCGTCTACGATTTCGGATGAAGCTGTCCTGGGGGATACTAAGAGAGCGCTGAACGCACGAAGTGATCCTGAAGGATCCTTCGGATCCGTATTGATCTTTGGTAAAGGACTCCAAAGACGTCGTCTCCAAAGACCCGCCGTCGGTCCTACCACCGGACCGAGGTGTGCGTCATGAGATTGACTTGGTATCGGAAACCAAATACTGCGTAGCACGCCAATGGCCCGTGCCGTCATTGAAGCCATTTTCACGAGGCGGGAATGGTGCGTGAGGGCAAGTCTCCCCATTCGACAACCACGTTTTGTGTCCAGAGGCTGACGGCAAGTGACGCATCGTTCATGCTTACAATAAGCTAAAGGCTGCCACTATTCCGGCACAAACGCCAATTTCTAGGAAGGATGTTCTTCAAAACAACATGGTGGGATGTACGAAGTACAGTGCACTCGACTT